GTATCAGGTAAGAAATCAGGAGAGAAAGGCCTCCAGCAGGCAATTGAGAGATCCCAAGTTCCTGTCTCACCTGGCACAACCTCTTTTTCTCTGTTTTCTGCCTTGCAACACTAGGAGAAGCCAGTTAAGCTACTTCATTGTAAACAAATCTGTAACTCAAAAACATTTGGCTGATCTGCATAATACCAAAAGAAAACCTTGTCTTGACTTGTGCAATGACAAACCATCCACTTGCTGTTCATTTAAAGTTTGAGTTCTGGCTGCTCAGACTTGGTTATTGAGCCTCTTGCTGGATAACAGCAGAGTTTCTTGAAACTTCCCCTAAAAGGAGCAGTTCCCCACCTCTCATGTGCCTCCACCTGTCCCTGGGTGTTGGTGGCTGACACCTGGAAGGAAGCAGGTCTGTGCAACATCTGCCAGCAATTCTGGAACATGGGCAAGGAATTCTAACTCAAGTCTACCTATTCCCAAAGCACTCATCCAAGGCAAACTAAAGAATGCAAAGCAGAAATCAACATTCCCTGTCGTCTACTGTCTTTTTCTTTGTGCCTGCAACAGATTAAACAGGATTTTACTTAATTTTGGTCTCTTCCTTCTTGAATTTTCCCAGTTGGAAGCTACTCCATCCATAAAGGCTTAACCTTGTCCTTTAACAATGAACTTATGCTGGAGACTAACAGCTGACAAAGTCATTTTGCTGGATGAAAGGAGTGTCATTTGGTCATATTCTATTAAAGTATACTTAAATTGTGTATGATATTGTTTGAAAGACAGGTAAGGAAAGGAAAGACAGACTGCTTTGTGGCTGGTAAATATCCTTTGTTGAGGAAGTTATTTTATGGAGAATAATATTAACATTAACAGGATCCAACCTTGCTATATATAAACAGAAATCCTTCCTCTCTCTCTCCATTTATGAAAACTTCAAAATGCAGAAAGGAGAAATGACACAGATCTGTCATTTCCATGCCCTAACGAAAACAAGCAGTTGTCTGACATCCTATGGCAAGCAGTTTAGGACTTGAATCCCTGCATGTATGTTTGCATAGGTAATGAGCTAATTTCCTTAGCCAGGGAATGAATAAGCCAGGGACAAGGCATTTTTCAGGAACACACACAGGGATGAGCCACATGCAGCGCACAGAGTGCTGCCAGTACAGCGATCTTCCGTGACTGATCTCTGCTGTCAAACACCATGAGAGCTTTTGAGCAAACCATTAAAAATACAGGCAACAAGAATTCATCTTCTCCCTCTGACGGACAGACCAGCAAAAGGAATTGCTCTCTAGCCCTGCAGTCCCCTCCTGACACTCTTCTCCCCGTGCTCTCTTCCTCCAGAGCAGCCGCACACGCATGAGCGCGCATCGGCAGCGGGCGAGGGATGAGACAGCATTTTCCAGATCTAAATCCCAGGGCCTAATGAGAAGCTATCCCCTTGCTGTGCAGCTATCAACAAAACTGTCTTCCCAGACATAAAATCTTTTCAGTTATCCAGTCTGCTTCAGAGATTAGAAACTGGGATATAAGAATCTAAAGCAACACCTGCTTTCCATCTTTTCTTGACTTTTTAAACATTTTTTCAAGGATTTTTTTTTTTCTTTTTAAATACACAGATTTATAACTTAAGTCTATAATTAAGAGCTTTACAGAGTAGGCAGTGAATCTGGAAAGACAGAAAAGAAACAAACAAATTTATCAGATTCTATTTAGTCAAAACTGAATTTCTAAGGGCTGTTTCTCCAGAGACATGCTGACTGGAACAGCCAGAGTGTTTGCTTCCCAAGTACAGCCAAGCCATTTATCACACAGGCCATTGATCAAACACATTGTTTGGCATTGTTTACTCCAAGCTTGCCCACCTCCCATCCATCTGCAGCTGCAGGGCTGACCCTAAACAAAAGGAAAGGGGCCAAGATGAGATTTTGTACCTTAAGCAGATTACCCAGGAGATGGTGCTGGCATCTGATGACTTGGTTGTGGAATTGCAAACAGGACGCTGCATTCTTGGGGAGGGCAATATCAGAGGGGGTTAAGAGCTGTGTTTAATGGAAGTGGTTAGAATTACCAGACAAGGCAACAGCACTCCTGACACTTACTGGCAAGATCCCAGGACATAAGTGATTGATCCAGTGTAACTGGCAATATCAACTCTTTAAAGGCTAGTTTGAAGTCTGAAGAAGTTTGAACACTTTGAGGAACTGCTTCCTAGAAATACTTGGAGAAAAAGTATTTCCATGAATAAGAGCACAAGGGGAAAAAAAGTCACTAGTGACTGGGGACGAGGAGTGGAGGAACAGTATCTTTTGGCTAGCTGTTCTTAGAACCACTAAAAACTTGTGAGAACCACCAGGGCATCTCCAAAGATCCCCACCCCCTATGAGTATAACATCCCTTACTGAATGGGTTTTGAGGATATTTTTGGAGTGACACTTCACTATAACACTTCTCAACACCACTTTCCAAATTATCTTTTAAATTGATTTAACTCACCCATGTTTTCATTACATCAGTGGTACCCAGCTCTGTAAGGTACACCAACACCAAACTAGACAACTGAAGGGTGACTAATAATCTACTGACGTTAGGTGGTGCACAGATGTCTTTCTCATCTAGAAAGTACCTCCTAGAAGACACTGACCTCAGAAAGCAAGGAGCAGGTTGTTACAGCAAATATATGTCTGTTTTCCCTGGTTCCATGCTGAGGCTCACATAAACATAAACAAACAAACAAAAACCACAAAACATGTATCTCATTCCTGAGTAGGTACACTCCTCATACCTGTTCCTCTACAGATATAAAAGGAAACTTAGAGCTCCTTCTGCCAGCAAATCTGATGCTTTGAACCAATAGCATAACCTGAATGTGTTATTCAGGTACCACAAAATATAACAGCTGTTACACAAAAATCTCAACTGCTGTTCAGTAAGGAAGTTCCTTTGAAAAATGAATGCCTTTCATGTGTTCCTGGTAGCATCCTATGCTATGCCTACCACAAGGAAAGGGACTTCTTCCCTTGCCTCGCTCCATATTTAGCATCTTTCATAACCACTACCAAAAAACCACTGTGCTAAATTATTAACCTGCAAATCTGCGCCTGCTGCACCCACAGGGCAGCACCATTACAAAGGTACAGAGAACAGGTCCTTGCACCTGGAGGGGTAGCAGATGTTCTGAGCCAGGAGGATGGCAGAGAAACACTGCCCATCACTTGGGAGGGATCACACCCATGAAGAATGACTTCAATTCCTGCAGCACCCCTCACTTCTCTGCAAGCCAGGATCTCACTGCAGGGCAGGCTATAACCCTGTTGCTTGTTTTGTCTCATGTTTGCTTCAGTTCCTTCCTGATAATGGTCTTAATATATAAACAAATATAATGCTTAGGTCACATCCAGTTACTTGTTAGAAAAGCACATTTCTATGTGAAACATGGCACATGAAATATTCACACATTGACATGTGTTACAGCAGGATGCACACAATTTGGAAATAAAAGCAGCAGGAAGGAACAGAGGGAAGTTGCTAATTTTTTTCAGTCTTCAGTCCAGACCTTGTGATTTCATCTCCCTGGAGAAGTGACTGCTACAGCAAGAACAGGTTTTCCCTTGGAATTAGCAAAATCTCTCCCTGCCTGGCCCCACAGATTGCTGTCACTGCTCTCAGGCAGCAGTGTCTAGCACAGGTCAGGAAGGGCACTTCTGTGGTTCTCTAGGTTCTTCCATTAAGCATAAAATAGGGGCATCAGGAGGAGGGTGCAAATCCAGCCAGTGATAAGGAGATGCAAATTCACAGCCTTTAATAACAAGGCCTTCCAAAATCCTGGAGAGATTTTTCCTCTATTTTCAGCTGGTATTGGAACTAATCCATAAAAGTTTTACATTTAATGCTCTGCAAGACATACTGAACTTTGGGCCGATCATCTCATCATTCACACTGCAAGATGATCTAGCAGTCCTGCATTCCCACTTCTTTTGTCAGTGGAGCATCATTCTACTTCACTTTATTCTTTAAAATGCCAGAGCACGTCACCCTGCAAGACAGTGAAAGAAGCAACAAAACTAAAAGCAGTACCACTAGCAAAGCAAAACCAGTAAGAAAACTACATGCAATCTCCACAGTCTTTTAAAAAAAATATTAGAATGTGGTGACAGACGTAGCTCTGGACAGCAGCTCTTGGCTAGTGGCTTTTCAATGCTAATTAAATTAAAAAAAAAAAAAAAAAAAATTGGGCCTGACACCCAGTGATGACAACCCAAACAGAAATTCTTAAAAATTAACCTGACCTCTCTGAAGGACAACTTCATGAAAATATTCCATTTTGATGGGAACAGACTATGACTCACAGAACTATTTTGCAAAGGTTGAAGAAGAATGGATGTTCGTAGGCTCTTTTTTACTGTACATTTGCTCTGAGTCCCTCAATACCCACAATTTGTTCTACATACCACAAATACCCTGCTGCTAAAGCCAAGGTATTTCAGCCTTTAAACTGCAGGAAAAACTTGCATGTGCAGCACTGGACTGGGCAGGTCTGTGACATTTTCTGGCAGTGTAATGAGAGTCTGTTAGAGCACTCAGTATTTTCTTTCCTTTCTTTTCTCTTCCTTTCCTTTAAGCTAACATCCTTTTCCTGTGCCTGAGGGAGAAGGCAGTTGATAAAAGCCGAGTTCCTGTTCACAGATAAGTTTAGAAGGCAGGCAAGCTCAGAAGTTCCTTGAATAAGCTATATTCCTACCACCTCATTTTCCCCCCGTCAGAGACGTCTGAGCCCCACACAGGAACCAGGCTGACATTGTTCAATAGCCACGGACATTTCCACAGTGGCTGGGAGGGCCGAGAGCTCTTTCCGCTCTTTGTTACAAATTTTTTTTTTTATTTTTTCCTTCCTTCTTCCAACTTTCCAGTTAAAGAATATTGCTGGGGCATTTCTGAAGTAATTCAGGCTGAGCTTCAGAGGAAAGAACAAGAGACAGGTGTAAGTGGGGAGGAAGAAGCCCAGGATGCTGGTGAAGCTTTTGCTGGTCTGTAGCACAGTAGGACTGGCAAAGCTGGTGGAACACGCAGACCATCATGGAGATCGCGATGGTTCCGTGCACAGCTTAAAGCCACGAGTGCATGAGAGCTCTGCACACCCCCAGAGAACTCCTCTGCCACACCAAGAAGGTTACTGGGAGGCAGAAGGACTCAGGGAGGATACTCAAGATTACCCTTCAAGCGTGATCTCCTCACATCAGGAAGAGAGAGGGGATTTGGAAGCTGCGAGCCCACAGCCCCGAAATGGGTAAGTACCCAGTATGTCTGTCTTACACACAACAAGAGTGCATTCCTCTCTGATACTTTTATCATCTGTGGGTACAGGACTGTTTTCATCAGAAGCTTCTCATTAAAATACATTAGATTTTGGAGGCCAATCTATATCCAAACAAGAGTGGTTTAAATGCTTGAACTCCAGAAACAGAAAGCTGAATTGCCTGTGGAGGATAAAACCACAGATGGGACCAGCCCTTTGCTTAATCTGGGGTTAGGGGTGTGCACACACCCAGCAGAGGTGAATCTTCCCAGTTCTGCCAGAAACCAAAACACTACCTCTGGCAGAGCAGAACTAGAGGAAGTTAATTTACTGACTGTTTCTTATCATGAACTGATGCTGATTATTTCTGCTGAGCATGGCAAACTGCCTGCCTGCAGACTTGGGCCTTGGAAATGGAGAAAGAAAGGTAGTGGCAGGATGTTAGCAAAATAAAAATAGTGAGGAGTAAATATAATGAAGTAAGGAATAATGAATAAGTATGAAAATTACTACAAATTTCACACCCCCACCCCCTTCCAAAGGTTTCCATGCCAGCAAAAATGAGTTTCATTGTAATCTGTAGCAGAAGAGTAGCCATTCTGAGAGTAAAAGCCATGTACTTCACTAGAAATATTCCCAAACCCTATGATTTGTGTAAGTTTTACAGGGCATGTAAGTAGGTCTCTAAATGTTTAAAATAGATGAAAACCAAGCAGGACAGTGAATGAATTTTTTATAGCCTTGATGGATGGGTACAGCAGAGTCCTGTTCAGGAGAGCTGAAACAGCAGCACACTTAGTGCTGTTCACAGCTCAGTGCTTTAGGATGCCCTGGTATTTTTCCCTTTAAATGCTCTTGAGGAAAGGGAAAAAGTGAGATGGAAAGAGACTATAAAACCTTGCTCATGCCATGCTTCCTTTTCATGCAAACTGAAGTATGCAATCTTGTTTCTAATCTCACCTATATGTAAAATTAAGGCCTCCCTTCTGTATGTACCATGGTCAGTGTATGAAAACCTTGCTGTCTTTCACAATACACCTTCCCAAAAATCTGTACCTCTCTTTAATAGCCCTAAGGCACTTCCTAAAGCCTGCAAGGCTTCCTGATGGGTAGTGTTTGATAATGATGTGCTCTGTTAATTAACCAACTCCTGGTTAATGCAGTTCAGCCATGGTCAAAAGAAGGAAACAAGGCCCAAGGGGCACTCTGGGCTTCCAAATTACTCTGCAAGGTGATAATCATCTGACTGTGGTTGAAATGCTGAAAACATTCTGAAAGCTCCCAGTAGTATGAAAATTCAGTGCTGTAAAAAGGTCAGCATTACAGGTCAGCAAGATGCTGTAATATATGTCCTAATCAGGATTTCTTCCTTGGCTCTGTAGCTCTGTTCAGCACCAGCTTGTCTAATTCAGCTCAATACCAGCTATGACTCATCCTAATTTCCTCCCAAGGAGAGAAATACTTCCTTCTTTTATGGAGATAGTTGGATAATGAGTCAAATCATAACATTCTCCCCAATTATAAAGCTATGTGGATGACTACAGACAATCCAAATCTAGCCTGGCAGTAGCCTTGAGGTATTTGCTGTTTTGTAGAGCTGTCACACTTAGAGCACACACAAGGCCAGGCAGCTGCTAGGTCTGAGGAAAGAAATTGGAGACTTTGAGAAGAATTATATCTAAAAGTAAAGGGAGAGAGGGTGAATAAGAAGGGACAACACAATTCTTCTTGTAACCACACTCCAAATTCTAAAATGGTTGAAACAACACACCTTCAGAGCATGGAGTCCTCTCGTGCCTGTCAGCTGCTGTGGCTGCAGTACCCTGCTAGGCACAGGCAAGGTGTTGTCATGAATCTGGTATTTCCTCCCTACAAGTGTGACACATTCCCTGGAAAAAAACTATCAAGAAACAGGCTTTATATCTCTCTGGAGGAGAACAAGAAGAAAATCATCAGGAGTTAAATAGGAATTGAGAGATAAAGGGAAAAAAAGACATGCCATAAAAAGGTGTGACAGACATGCAAAAAAAATGTCCAGGATGGTGGAGAATAGTTTTCTACCAAAATGATGTCTTACATCTAGTTTGGTTTTGAAATTAGAAAATACTTTTTTGCAGAACTAGGAAACAAACAAAGTCTATGGTAACTTGGTCTTTGTGACAATGTTTTGACTCTCATTATTTGAAAAAAATCAAAGCAATATGTGTTTTGCTCAACCACTTCTTATTTTCCCTTTGTATTAGGAATAGAGGTAGTTACAAAATTTTCTTATATTTTAAAAAAAGGTAGAGCATCATTCTTCATATTGCAGTTATTTGAATAATTGAGACCATCATGACTAAGTACTGCAAGGTATTAATCAGAATCCTCTGGTTTCTGTTTCAACATGTGAGATTAAATGACTCATTAGATCCCAGTCAAATACTTGGATATGTTATTTTGCTAATTCCTCTAAGAACAATAAGATTTTTCACGTAAGAGCTTTAAAATATAAAACAGTAAGAAGTATCTCAGCTGTTGCTTGTATCTGAACAAATAGAAGAAGCTCTGCATGTCCAACTGGACAAGTCTCTGTATGTGTACAAAATCAAAACTATCAAAAGAAGCCAACTTTCCGAAGGAAATCAACCTTTATATTGCTTTTCTCCCCAGCAGCTGTGTGGTTTGACTTCAGCTATTTTATTCTACTGCTGAGGTAAATGGATCCACCTGTACCCAAAACTTTCAGTAGAATTAAAAAGGGAAATTAAGAGACCTGTACATCAGGAACAGCCAGGCTCACAACTCAGATTTCATGCACTTAGTGCTGTACTTCATTAAAGAAACCAAGACAAATGAAGCATGTAAAAGGCACATGCAGCTCCAACAGCAAAGCCCAAAGCTGCCTGTACCCTCAGTTAGCCTGACCTGTCTGTCAAGTAACACTGTAAACCAGATCCCTTTAGCATTCCAGGCTAAAAATAATCTTAGGAAAAAGCAGAGGTTATTTTTAACCTTCCCCCTCAGTAACAACACTGACAGAGCCAGTTCCCAGGTGAATGGCTCATCCTGCAAGGGAGAAATGGACGGTGGTGCTGGAATGGGAAGAAGCACAGCAACTACAGCTGGCTTACCCATCTGCCCAAAGTCTCACAGAACTTCTGTTTCCAGAAGTGTAATCATTGCCAAGTGGCCCCTGTTCTGGTTTTGCCCTGCAGCTGGGCAGGTTCATTTTTCCTTCTTTCTTTTTAATCCACAAACACATGGTGTCATCTCCTGGGATTTTTTTTACAACATGCCCACAAAAAAAGGAAAAATAAAATTAAAAAGTCTCCAAACTCTACCACCTGACCTATTAAATAGGAAAGGCAGAAATCTTCAGCTTAAGTAAATTCTTGATTTCACTAATATATTGTGAGTTTTTGACACAAAATTCTGTGAAGTCACCCTTGATTAGAGGAAGGTTTCCTGATGTCAGCCAGGTGTGTTGTTATCTCTCTCACCTCCTCCTCTCATTCCACATCAAGGGGCCACAAAGAATCAGGCCTGTTCTTGTGACTATCCAGTGTGTCAAAACATGTAACTATCCTCCCAAGTGTACACAAGCAGAGAAAACCCAATTCACTTATTCTAAGTAAAGTCAGTGTTTAATCTTAATAGCTTATTATTTTTTGTTCACTTTTACAGGAAGAATCCATTAATATAATTAAGACCAGTTCCACACTGACTCATCTATTTCTTCAAAACAAGGCAGGAACTTTTGTAGGAAGCTTATGGGATACCGAAATTTCCCACCAAAGGGGCACAGAACATACACTTAAAATAAAACAGTTTGGATGAAGTGCAGCTAAAAGTGATCTTTAGCCCCTGACATCCTGAAAGCAGTGGAACAGCCATTGAGTGCTCAACAATAGCTTTGGCAGTGCCAAATGCATCAACAGAAGCAAAGCTTTCCTATCAAAGTGAGGCACTTGGCTCCTTTCAGGACTTCAGGAAATTCTCCAATATTTGGCTGTCATTGAATGGCTCAGCTGCAGGTGGAATAGCTCCCCATTAGCCTGCCTGATGCAAATGACACTGCTCCATTCCACACAGTGCAGGAGTTACTGAACCCTCTGTGCCCACGGGATTGATTTGTTTCACAGCTCATTACTGCAAGCTGCAGCAATTAATTTCTTCAGCAGATAGCAAGGGAGCTCCTGTTTCAGCATCATAACCACAGAATCACTGTCAGTGCTATCACCACCTGGGCCCAACACCTTCCTGCTTGTGCAGCAATCAGTGGGCAGCCCTGAACAAACCTTCCCTCATGCCCCAAACACAGTCAGCACACTGCCCACACCCTGAGCACGTGCCAATGGGAAGCTTGGCTTCCCAAGCACTTCTGACTCCCTGGCATCAGCACAGGTGTGCCAAAGGGTGGCTGCAATTCCTGCAATTCCTGCTTCCAGATGAGGTCTGACAAAGGAGTGATCAGGCTGTACTAGGGGTGAACTTAAGTGTGCAGGAATCAAAGGATAAAATCCAAGTGTAAGCTGCCCTCTCAATGGGCTGCAAAGTCTCCACTGAGGGGGGATAATAGAAATGAGGTAATGGCTGCGGATGCTCTTGAAGAGGAAAATCTCCTTGCATTTACTTCTCTGGAATTGTTTGTACAACAGTTGAATTTGGCTCAAAATCAGCTCCCAGTCAAGCCTGCTGTTCCTTGAACTCTTGCTCCCAGTTCAGGACTGCATTTGCTCTGAAAGTCTTCAGTGCACTATGGTTTTAGGATGTCCTGCAGGACAGGACTACCCCAACTGATAACAGTCTAACTGTTGGAATACACACTGCATTCAACCTGGGTCACTCAGGACTCTGGAAGATTTCCAGCAGTGCATGGAAAGCACATGTTTGAAATGACCATTGCCACTCTTTTCAGTCCAGTTTAAGATGAACTGCAAATCAAACTGCTCTCACCCCAGTGAAAACCAGGGTGTTTCACGGGATGAGACACGGGGAGATCCCAGACCCTGCCTGAGGGGGAGTTCTATTCCCTTTGGGAGTTTTCCTGAGGTAAAGGAGAAATATGAGAGTTTCTGCTGTTTGATTCTAATACAGGGCTGCTGGCTGCCTGGGAAGAGCTTCAGAATTCACTGACAGACCACCAGGCATCACTTGTCTGCTAATTAAAAACCCAGTGGCACACCATGCTGCTTTGGGAGCCAGCGCCTTCCCCAACAGCTGAACACTTTCTGTAGTCCATAAAATAGAAAAAGATACATCTGTCTCAATACTGACATGCACAGTCTCAGTTTAGATTAATTTAAATGTGGTACTTTATTTCCTTTTCATTGAGGCTGCTTTTTCTTGTCAGTGAGAAATTTGCACTGAGGGAAAAACCAACTACAGCTAAAGCCTTATTCTTCAACTAGTATAAATCAGAACTCAGTGGAAAATCACTTGTTTAAACTGAAATAACAGTCTTCTACTACCTTCCTATAGCACACTAAGCAGGAATTACTGCTTATCTGGTGCCTTTTTGCTGTATAGGAAAATGTTATGGTCTTGAAAAGTTTTGCCCACCGTGAGTAGTAGGTGCAGGCATGGCTAGGCAGCAGTTTTCAAAGTAATTATAGACACTGGCTTCCTTGAGAACAGAAACCTGAGGAAACTGATGGTGAAGGACAACTCAGTTGGACCAGTACAGCCAAAGGAATAACAAAACTTATGAAAAACATCCCAACATCCTGAATTCCTGAAGCTTTTGTTCAGGCAAAAATTCCACTGACCTAGGAAACATCTAAAATTATGCACTGCAGTGCCAATCAAGAGAACATGTAGCAAAGAGAACTAAAGTGTGTCAGTCCCTCACTGTGCTGGGGAGATTACTCACACTCACTGACACACTGCAATTGTCTGTATGAAGGAAAGACACTACCCCATATTCATCTGAGCAGAGTCAATTACTGCAGAGCGGCCATCTAACCTTTTCTCCTGGTTCTGTGGGTTTTATTTTGTTTCCTATGATAAGGTGGCCCAGCCAAATCCTAGAATCAGAGAAAGAACTGCCTCCATTTTGCTATGTTTCAACAGATCCCATGTAAGAAAAAAAATCATTCTCGTATCAGTTTCTAAACACCTGAAAGATTCAAATAAAAAGAGCCTGAGCTAACCTACATTTGCTGAATCTTATTTAAATACAGAATGCTTTGTCATCAGATATATTTAACCTCAGACATAAGAATACAGTTGCCTCAGAATTAGGCAGAAGTGAATAGATGCATGTGAAGACTCTATTTAATAAGATTAATTCATAATTAGAATGAAGTCTGGGGGAAAAAAAACCAAACCACCCAACAAACAACACCACAGGCTAGCAAAGAAAACTATTAAACCACTTTTTCCTGGTTTAAAGAAACCAGGGATTAATTTCTTTGCAATGTGAACCAGGAAAAGCCCTTGAACAAATGAAAAATTTGCAGCCCTGAATTTGCTAGGGTTCCCTCAAGAGCTGCTCTAACTTTCAGCATTATGATAAATGTTACTGTTCACCAAATTACAGGGAAGGCTTTTCTGCTCTCCTCACATGAGCAGCTTCTCTCTGTCCCTCTCTCTTCCTGGCAGCAGAAATTTGCACCAAAGAAAACTGCATTAAAGAGAATAAAAGCAGAGGGTATTAAGTTGGTTACATATTCAGTGAATGAAGTGACATAGTTACAAACAGGAGAATAAATGCAGCAGCAGAACACAAAGCTGCTGTGTTCCAGAAACCAGCTCAAGAAAGAAAGTGCTATTTGTGAAGGAGCAGCTCTTTGAAATTTCACAGCTTGATTCAGAGCCTTTGGTGCCAGAGAAGTCCTGCATGCCTCACTGAACTTTAGATCAAGCCCTTCTCAGTCTTTTACATTGCTGCACTTAACATTAAAGAATGACGTGGTTTCCCTCAAGGTTAATCCTGTTAAGGAGTATTTTTAGTTACAGATAGCAAAGTTTCCCTAAAGGAAGCATTTGACAAGTTTTGCAAAAAAATACTGTAATAGAAGTTTCATCTTTGGGCACATGCATCTATTTGGCAGCTTATTACAGGCCTTATCTACTTACTTGAGGAAAGAATAAACTCTGATAAGTTTTATGGAACTCAAAACCTCTGAAAGTTTTTGTGATTAAAACCACAACATGGCATTACATAGCCCTTCAGCTCCACAAATAAACCTTTAAGATCAAGTGAGAGAGAACCAGTGAATATATAGTAAAGAAAACTGGACATAAAGAACTGTGGCAAGCATTAAAGGATGTTTTGACTGAGAGTCCATCATATTCCCCTCTTTTTCCCCCCTCATCTTATTCATTCTGCAGAACACTAGTGCAAAGCAGGCATCAAGGAGGGATCAACCACTGATCCAATTTCTGATACAACATAACAGCTTTCTACAATTGGGAAGGTCACCAAGTACCTCCAACACTTTAACAAGTTTTGAAAAGGAATCCTTGTGTTTTCTGTTCTGTTTGTGCAAATCCACCTGTGAAATAAAGCAAAAGCACTCACAGTCCCACAGTGCCTCATTCTTGCTCACACAGGTTGATGCATGTGCACATTTGGCTTTGCTCTATGTGGCTGACATGACTCCAAGGACTTCTTAGGAAGGACTTGCATATGGTGGGAAAAAACCCCAAATCAGCCCAGATGATGATTCACTGGGTGTGGATTGTTTTCATTAGGAAAGAACAAAACCCTGAAGCCAAAGAATCCTGTTTTAAAAGGAGGTTTCCACACTGAATGCAGACTCCTGCCTGGATCTGGCAGGCATCCTGCTGGCAGGGGCAGGGATCCTGCACCTAGCAACAATACCAGAGAGCTCCAGCACCAGTGCCTGGGCACTTCACTTCCCCAGGAAAAAGTAGAGAGGATTTGAGGGGAGAAAGCCTCTTCCAGCTATGCCTTGCCAAGTGCATGAGAGAGGGCAGCCCAAAACCAAGCACAAACCCTGTTGTAGAGTTATTTAACTGACACCAAATACCAGAAAAGTGCCACAGCTGTTAAAGCTTGGAAACAGTAAACCTGGTAAACTTAGGCATAGCTTGGAGGCAGATGTCATCAGAGCACATGTGCTGGTCTGCTGGATTTTACTGAGTGGTTTTATACTTTGACACAAGCAGTGTTTGACTCTGGAAGAGTAATAGTTCAATAAAAATTTGAGGATTTGTCTTCCAGTTCAGTCCCATAAGAACCAAGACATCCATTGATTATAGGTCCAAAATTTCCCCCAGTCACTTGTAAAGGCCTCAAAGCCACAACTCAAGCAAGTTGTTTTGGCTGGGAATCACAACAAAGGCAGCAGCCTCCTTTCCTGTTCTGCTTTCCCAGCCCTGCAGCCTTTGCCAGATTCCTGCCCTTGCTTCTAACAGATGAAGAGTTTTGCTTGCATGAGTGCTTGCTGAAATCTTAATCACATTTTCCTTAAGAAACAGGGGAACAACACAGGCTATGGCCCAGCAAGCCTGGTGAACTGTTCCCAGCTAGCCCAGGCTGTCTGCCCTTCCATCCTGATGTTTTCAGCTTCCTTCCCTTCTCCTGGCTGCTACAGTGCCAGCTTCTGCTTTTGTGCAGGACTCGGTTCCCCATTGTTACACCAACTCCCTGAGAAAGGCAAACCTTTTCCATATATGCTGATAGTTGGAGATTTGGTTCCTGTATTCCCATTTAAAAATACACTGCCTAAAGTTCAGCTGTTTCCATTATAGTTATTACTCGTCACTTCCTGCCCCTTCTGGTCTTGGATTTAGCCATCAAACTTCAGCCAACATTCCACTGCCAAGTCTTGACTTTAAAGGAAGAGGCTCACCTACACTCTGGGCCTATGTAATTCTGACTTGGAAAATTAATCAGACTATTAAAACTCACTTGTCCTTGCTGAAAACATAAAACTAAAACAACCCTTTTACCCCCAAAATTATTTTCCTGCAGGTGATGGGAGAAATTATTTTGAAGCTAGCCTACTTCATAAAATCCAATCACTTAGTATATTATGTTGAAGAAGTAACACTTACGAAGATATTATTAATGGAGTTAATGTTGGATTAAGTTTTCAGAAGCAGTCTGCCTCAACCTGATGAGTCAGTCATATGGCATCTGAAATGGCAACATGCCTAGAAAGGCCATTTGACATTTAAAGTGACATTAACCCACAGGTTATCATGGGCTGGAAATTTCTCCTGCAAAATGAAAGGACTGGAAATGGAACTAATGCATCAAAGTTCAGACAATCAGCCCTTTTGTAACAAATGCAGATAAACATCTCAAATGAAAACAAACGAACTGGGAGTGGAGGGAGAAGGTAGGAAGCATTTTCCACTTTCCTCATCATACAGCTGGGAAAAATACAAATGTAAAAATAAAGGCCTTTCTGCATTTCACTTTTTCTTGGCACTGTTACAGCCAGAGACTTAGAGACCTACTTCAAACTCTTTTCCCACGTTTTTGCTCCTCTAGGAACTGGTGCTCCTTCACGCAGTCCCGCCTGGTCACATACATAGAAGCCTGCATGAAGGAGAAGTACATCGTCAACTCCCAACAGCCCTGCCCCAACGGAGCCCCAGACTGCCAGAAGATCATGTGAGTGTCCTAAATAAAACCAGTGAAGAAAGCAGCATTTTCTCTGAAGTATCTAAAAGATGTTTTCAACAGTTCTGAAGCCTCATCATTATTTCTAGGGGAGTTTAAAACAAATTTCTATCTTCCTTGGTAACTGTTTTGGAATAATGTGTTTAATAATAAAATGGTCTCCACACCTCATCAGAATACTACAGCATTCAGGATCAGTCCAAACTTGATTGCAAAGGACTCTATTACAATAAATCTAATGCCCAGACCCTTCCTCTCCAGGTACAGGACAGCCCTGAAGCCAGTCTACCAAGTGAAACAGAAGACTTTGAAGTCTTTGCAGTGGAAATGCTGCCCTGGATTTATTGGCAAGGACTGTGAACAGCGTGGTAAGCAAAGCTGGAGAACAAGTATAGGAATGAATGACTAAATGCCAGGCACAATGGAAAGAAATCAATCTGCCTGATTTTTCTCCTTATTTTTTAGAATTGATGCCTTATTTTTTTTCATCTGCTATGTCCCAAATCACAGATACTTTGAGCCAAGAGTGTCATAATTAGTTGCAATTAATAGTTAAATAGCATTAGCTACTTATTCTTCTCTTAATAGCACCTTTGTATGGAGAAAGGTATTAATTTGCTGGAAAGCCTGTCAGATGTCCATCTTAGACAAGTCCATCTAGGAATGTCTAATTCCAGGTAGAAACTGGTGACATCACAAAGCAACACTAGTGTGTGAAATGCCCTTGGTCAGTTCAGAGGATGAAATCATCTGGCTTGGAAATCACAAGGTGTCCAAGTTCAGAGGAGAGGGCAGCCTTCACAGTCTGCATTGCTCCTCCTCTCTGCTTACCCTGGCTGCAGAGGCACTGGCTCCTCCACAGGGAGCAGCTCTACAGCACAGGCAGGAGCAGAGCCCAGACTGTAAACTCCAGGAAAGCTCCAGGAACAGCCCTTGAATGAACTACTGGAACCCATTGCAATGCTGAATAAAGCACTGGGGGCAGCAGGTTGAGGGAGGGGATTTTGGCCCTCTACTCTGTCCTCCTGAGACTCCACCAGGAGTCCTGCATCCAGCTCTGGGGTCCCCACCTTAAGGACATGGACCTGTTGGAGTGAATCCAGGAGCACCTCTGCTATGGACACAGGCTGAGAGAGCTGGGGCTGCTCAGCCTGGGGGAAAAGGCTCCAACGAGACCTCAGAGCACCCTCCAGTACCTAATGGGGCTACAAGAGAGATGGAGAGGGACTTTTCACAAGGGCATGTAGTGGTAAGACCAGGGTAAATGGCTTCAAACTGAAATAGGGCAGCTTTAGTTGATGTATTAGGAAGAAATCCTTTGCTGTGAGGGTGGTCAGGCACTGGAACAGGTCTCCCAGAGAAGCTGTGGGTGCCCCAGCTTTGCAAGTGCTCAAAGCCAGGTTGGATGGGTCTCTGAGCAGCCTGGTCTAGTGGGAGGTTCCCTGCCATGGTGAGGGGGTGGGAACTAGATGGTTTTTAAGGCCCCTTCCAACCCAAACTATCCTGTGATTCTATGATCTATGCAGCTGCTAATAAAGAGAGAGGGGAGAGAGTGTGGTTTAAAAACTGAATGGTGGTTTAAAAATGGCATTGGCAAGATTTAGCGAATAATACTCAAAAAGCAGAATTTAAACAGATTTAAGAAAAAAATAGATTTAAGAATTTAAATAGAAGTAAGGGAATTTAAATGAATAAAAGGCAATTCCCTCTAGCAATTAAGTCCACCATAACAATAAAGGCAAACATATGTCTGAAAATTTTTCCACAATCTACATTAACTCACCTACAGACTCCACAGATAAAAATCTCTGGAGGTTTAGCTTTTCTTCACAGATAGCTTTCATTTGTGGTTCGATCTCTTGGTGAACTTCACACATAATGTTTGAAAGATATTACCAAATGCAGTGCTACTATTTTAGCCTCTCTATTGTTACACTCATTGACCAAAACCAGCTCCTCCATCAATATCTTCTCATTTGTACAGCATCATTCACTGCTGCTGGACCAGAATGTTCAGGTAACTGTGGAACAAGGAAGAGGAATTTGCACATCTTTAGATGGGGCCCCCAGAAAAGAAAAAAGCCCCACTTATTTGCAATAGATTAATTTCTTATGAGCAAAGCTTGGCATGAGTTAAAAATCCCTACACTATACTGCATAGCACTGCCATGTATGCAATGTTGTTTGCCAGTGCAAGGAAAGTAAGTTTTCCAGAGAAGGTGTTCTTTCCCTAGGAAGCCTGTCTCCACACCATTTACATAACACATGAAATTCCTGTGTGGTCTTGCTAAACTGCAGTAGTTTCTGCATCTAAAACACTTTCACAGCTGTATCATATCTCAATTGCAGATCCTAATTTTATCCTGGTGCCAGGAACTGAAACTGAAGGACGAGAAGAAGAGTTCTCAAACCACAGTATGTGCTTGAAGTTATTTTGTTTGTCATCCTTTTACATCTCAGTCACTGATCAGGAGAAAAAAAGAGAAAAAAAATATTTGAAGCTGTAATTTTAAAGTGATAAGCTATGGACAAACACTCTAGTGAAAGCATTCTCTGAAAAAGCTTTGAAACAATACATTTACTGACATAAATGAGGGCTTTTGCTATAACACTGTGTGAATGTTCACAACAAAACATTCCAAAATTTCAAAGCTGTCTTCCACTGTCTTTTGCTATAACACTCTGTGAATGCTCACAACAAAACATTCCAAAGTTTCAAAGCTGTCTGGTGAACAGTGGATGCCAGCTGGTGCAGAGCCTTACCCCTTTCAGTGGCATGGATGTTAACCCCTTGCTCTGCAGTGGGTTCACAGGACAGCACACCATGCTCACAAAAATCTACCAGAAAAACAATCCACTGAAAATGCTATTTTAGAAGGACCCCCAGTAGCTCTGAGACTACAAATCTACAGTACCTTGCAATTGTATCTCAGGCACTCCACCCTACCAGTGTAAGTAGCACCAAGGACCCTCCCTTACCACCTGGGAAGTGGTCTGGCCCACAGTGTTATTAAGTGCCTTTCAGCAATTAGCTTCAGGGAAATATTGCACACTTTGAGATCTACAGCTGAAATTCACAAGTATTTATTTAGAAAAACATCACTTAAAAGGCTCCTCCATGAGTCAGCTCTGACACACACTGTGCTCCTGAATCCTCAGTGGAATGTCTCAATTGCTCTTTCATCCCTTCCTTTTATTCTAGGCTGTTAAACCTTGCCATCCTTTCAGTCAATGGCTTGAAAAGAGTTAGTATTCCAAAACATTTTTATGGCATGGGGAGATTTCTAATTAAGAGCATTTTATTGCCATCATGGCTGTTGTAGCTGAAGTTCTCTGCAAATATTTGAATATATTAGGTTTCCAACACTGCTGGAAAAAATCCTTGCAGATAAACTGCAATTTAAGATGCCAAAAATCAACAGACCCCCTAAATGTCAGTGCAAAATTTTCAGAATAAAAATCAGCCAGGTGTTCTCAGAGGCCTTGCATGAATACCTGTCACCTGGTCGCTGCACCCTGTTGCATGACTTTGTTTTTCTAATCTTGTGACTAGTGTCAACATCAGTGGATTCAAGAGAAATGTTCGAAGTCATTCAAAATCATGAGGCTTTACTGGATGATCTTCAAAGTGATATTCATCAAGCAGCCAGCACCTTAGGTGACTTACAGAGACTATTTGAGAACAACGGTACAAGCATGGTGTTAGAAGTGAACGAGAGCAATTCAGGTGAGAGGTCTGATGCAGAACTATCAGCCCACGACAGGCTGAAACCACATAAATCAGAAAGAAAATGTGAAAACAAAAATACCCTGATGTTCCTTGGTCTGCTGGTTGCTTCTACAGAGAGAAAAAATGGGTGCAATCCCAATGCAAATGAATGAACCAAAGAGTAACTTCAAAATGGGAAATGAGAGGAAAGGCATTGTTCAGAATATGCCTTAATCACAGAATAAAGAGGCTGCTTGTATTTAAAATTTGTTAACCTTACTTTTCTGCTTCTATGGCTTCTTCTCTTCTCTGGGAATGCAGAGTTTAGATCTGCTCTTTTTCCATACTCGTGATGTATACTCTGATGTGTGGAACGGCACACTGGTGTTTCATGAAAAAATGAAACATTTCACCCATCTCTGGAACATTGTTTCTGCCATATACAGGAGAAGGAAAAAAAGAGCTGCTGAATTTAACCTACCATAGTGAGCCACTGGCTTGCAGAAACATTTTCTAATGATACAGACCTATACAGTACTCAGTGAACTTCAAGGCACTCTAAAATTAGAAACTGAGCCTTAGTATAATTCTCATACAGTCCAGATACCTCACAGATTTTTCAAGTTATTTACTCCTGACCCAGAATATTCAGCTGTTAAGATGCTGTATAACCTTGTGGAGTTGAAAGCACGAGAAAAAGAACATTATGACACAGTCAAAAAAGAAAGAGCCCACTAACTAAGAACTGTTGAGAAAATGGAGAGTTATGGACACTGGAAAAACCATCTGTCCACAGGGTTTCACAAAGCATAATTTTTAAGACATAAATGGGGAAATCAATACATATATAAGTTATTTTCTGCACACTCTTAGACACCGTGTGCTTCATAGTAACCTTTATCTAACAACAGGATATTTTTGCAGTTGTTGAAATTTATCATGAGGTCAGATTATGGGGAGCAAAACAGCAACTACTATAGAAAAATGAACACTTGAGTTTACCTGTCTAGATTGTATTCCAAAAGCAGAATTTAATTTTTTTTTTCCAACTGTATTAACAGATCACCAGGAAAGGCTTCTGCAGCAAGTTTTGTTTCCTCATGTGGAGAATTTTCTAAGGAAACATTTTAACCCAATGTGGGCAAGCTTCAACAAAAGTTTACAGAACCTCTCGAACATAGTAAGAAATCTGTCCCATGATGTGGAAGCCAACAAGAAAAGCATAGAAAGATTCCAAGAAAGCACTGTGCCCAAGAAGGAATTCCAGGAGCTGGGAACTAAATTTGAATCAAAAGTCCAAGAAAACATAGTGAAAGTTGATGAGGCAAAAAGAGATATAGAGAACAAAGTGCACATGCAGCAGGCTGATATTCACCATAACCTCAACATGATCAAGGCAGATACTGACACAAGACTCAAGAAGCTTCATAAGATACAGCAGTCCCATTTCTTAGCTTTGAACAACAGCATAGCAAACATGAAACAAGAGCAAAACCTTCTGGAAAATAAACTGGAAGCTTTGAAAAAAAATTTAACAGAACTCTCTTTACATCATGGTCCCAAAGATGAAAACAGCCAGTTAACCATCAAACATATGAATGAAATACTGTCAGGGCATGCCAAGCAGCTTAAAGAACTTTACATGGAGTCAGATGTGGCCTTTCAGAATATTGCAGTTTTAGAGAGGTGGTTTAAGGAGTTAAAGAAGAACATCTCAAAGTATAGGCCAGAAGATCTTACAATAACTTTAGCTGAGAAATCAGTTATTATGGAAGAAACCAATGCAGCAATGGAAAGGCAGCTAGCAGAGCTCAACTACACTCTGTCAAACCTTCAGGAAAACTATTCAGATCTGCTGCGGTACATGGAGGAATGCAATTGCCAGAGAGTATCTGCTGACACTGATGTGCTGGAGGAAGATCCAAGGAATAGCACTTATTCCCTTGAAGATACCCAGCCAAAGGATATGAAGCACTTGGAGTCAGTTTTCAGAGATTTCTTCAAGAGTGAAATTGAAGAGCTCTCCTCAGCTATTCCATCCATCCATCTGTCTCTTAACCTCCGTCAAGAAGAGAACAGACAGCTTCAGTCACAGGTTATGGCTTTTTCAGAAGACATGGGCTTGCTGAAGAAGAAAGATGAAGAAATTCATCGACACATCAAGTATCTCAATAGCTCTTTTAGCTCTCTTTTGAAAGATGCAATGCGGCACGAAGAAGCACTGGAGGCTCTACTGAGACATGAATTTCTGGATGTCTTTTTTGAAGATGACTTTAGTAGCCTAATACCATCAGTATTTCAGCTGCAAGAATCTCTCAGACACTTTTCAGATAAACTGCAAGAACAAAATGTGACTTTAGAATCTCTGAAGAGGAGATTTCATCCCTTGGAGAGAGGTCACCAGAATCATCATGATGCTCACATGCCTCCTAAGCACCCTGAGGAGGAAACACAAACCTCCTCTACTCTGCACGAAGTCAGCAGCCAAGGCAGCATCAGAGAACATATGGAACCTAACTATGAGGCTGCCAAAGATGACTCCTTGGAGAGCTCAGCTTACAATGATATCATGACTCTGAAGAATGATATCAAACATCTGAGCCTGGCAGTCAAGAGGCATGAATCCAGAGGTGACATAAGTCTCTGCTGCAATCATACAATAGCAAATGCAATTGAGCCACTCAACGTTTCTGTAGAAAGTCTCTCTGCAGATTTAGCAACCATCAAGCGGAATCTGGAGGAACATCTGGTGACTTTCAAAAAACTATTTGGAAGTAATGAAGAATTAGGTGCCTCAAATATAAGTCTGGATGTTACAAAGATTCAGTCAATGCTGCAGAAAAAAGGGAGAAGGCAACAGAAAGGTCAAGACAAGCAAAGAGACAAGAAAAGGTCTGAGAAGCACAGAGAAAATACACAAACAATAAGTGGAAGAAATACAGTGCAGACAGAATTTGTGGAAAAAGGTGTGTTATTTTCTTTTGCTTGCTCATGTACAGGTCCAGCTTCTTTCAAGGCCCTGATGCAAGTTCCACACACAGCATATTATTAGTATTAGTTATAGGAACTCTGAGGGATCTTGTGGGATGCTGGAGGGAGAAATTCTGACATTACTTACATCCTCCCCCTCCACCAGTTTAAATAGAAAAACAAAAGCAGTTTGAGTGAGAACCAAGCTGATATTCTGCTGTATTTTGGTTAAGGCCAATGAAATTACACCCACTATAGCTGCTAGGAAATTGGTCTTGAACTAATTCAACTTCAGGTGTTTAGAAGACAAATTTTGTTTGCAGATGCTCATGTTAATGCAGTAGCAGTCTCCTCTTTGGAAGCTGATGTGGAATGCTTCTTTTTCCCTGTTACTTTGTTACTTGGCTCTGGAAGGAGCGTACTCAAAGCACCAAATCCTTCTCAAGACAGACAGATGGATTAAATGAGCTGCTATAATTTGCACAAGTGGAACAGGCAGGACTGATGAGAGAGCACATACTCCCTCTCTTACAACCAAGCTTCAGAGACAAGTTTTCAGCTTATACTTCACTGGGACTGGCCAGTTCCCTTTCCCTGTAAGCATGTGACCATAAGCGCCTGGTAATTACAACCACCACAGCTTCAACATTGGCTTTTATGATTGCAGCCCTCGCTATGGACAAATAACAGAGCAAAAATCAGCCCCTTTAGGCAGCTGTGCTGCAAAGCTGTAGTTAAGACTGAATAAGCAGAGAACATATTCTTAAGTGATTTATTTTTGGGACAGCAAAAGAGTGATATTTTTTCCCCCTGTGTGGTCCCAGTGTTATACTTTTCCAAGAGTTCCAGGGAATCATTTGATCTACTCCAGTGTAGATCTACATAACCATTTCCAGTGTCTAGCTTTGCAAAGAAGCATACAAAAATCAGGCCTGATAGGGATTCACCTTATCTCCCATCCTGATGATCTTGGGGAGAGGAGAGCACTCACTCACTGCTAAAATCCTGTTCCTCTTTCTTTTTCAGACTCATTGGTGGCATTCCACGTGGGATTCTCAGAAAGAAAGGATAAAGAAAAAACTGTGAGGTTTAATGAAACGTACCTCAATTATGGAAACAGCTATTTCTCTGAACATGGCCACTTTAAAGCACCACACAAAGGTGTCTACCTGTTGTTCATCTCTGTGGAGTTCAGCTCAGGACCAGCACTGGGCCAACTCTCCTTCAGCCGTGGGTACAAAAGAACTCTCTCAAGCAGTCAGAGGAAAACCCCACATGGAAACACCATGACTACTTTTGCTATAGCAGAAATGGAGAAGGGGGAGACAGTGTGCTTTGAATTGCTGCACGGCTCTGTTGTGAAGCGAAGCCCACCTGGGACAACTATGGGTGGATTCCTAATATCTAAAACTTGAATAGTGACATTTATGTTTTATTAATCTCCTTCCATAGGTGCAATGGATGCATTCACTATTGCTTCATCTGTGATGTATTCAATGCTACTGCATGTGTTTAAACATAGCACTACCCTAGGTTTGTCTTCATGCTTCTTTTCTGGAAGTGTTTGGCTTTTGATTAGTTGCTTATGAGCAGCAATGGGATTTTCTTTCAAGTGAAAAGCTAATGGTTTGGACTCCAGATGTATCAGCACACACATTCCCAAATCTTTCAAATGTGAGAACTGCACATAATTGTTTTGTGGGACTTTCTTCACTTTTAACACAAATTTCTCCCTTCCCTTGACAAAAGATTATCCTCCCATGACAGATACCCCCAATCAGTCACAAGGAAAAGATTTTAGGTATAACTGCACACTCTCATGTTATGTGGATGGTACCTTAAAACCCAGAAGCCAGGGCAATTTTACCTTCTAGTTCTCTGTGGACCAGAGACTATCTTGGAAACTTCTGCAACTCACTCCAGTGTTTCAGTCTATGCACAACAGGAACACCAGAAGAGATCCATCAAACTCAGTAGAATTCATTCTATTGCCAGTATTTGCAAGCAAGGATCTCCTAAATGGTCCAGTCTTTGTTTCTTGGCCTGTGATGTATTTCAGCTACACTGCAAAAATTTAAAGCATTGTTAAGATGAATTACATTTACATTTAGACACTGCGAAAATGTCAACAATATTTTAGAAGTATTGGTGAAAATGCAGTTTATTTCTAAAGTTAATCCTGGAGATTATCATGAATTCAGCCCAGAGTTCAGTATTTAGTAAATATTTTAAAACCAAGCAAGCAAAACCAAAATCAAAAGGCAAGCTCATTGGTCTGTTATCACTGCTGAATATAAATTTGTAATTAGAGTAAATCAAAGAGCAGAACTTCTGAAATGTAGAGGGTTTTTTATTTCCAAAACATTGAAGTGATCATGCCTGGTCACATCTTAAACTTTCTTTTCTGTCAAATAAAACTTCCCAAAGACTTTCACTCTAAAGAAGTTCAAGTATTGTGGTATTTTTATCTATTCTAATACCTTACATAGCAATATTAAAACAATTAAATTTGCCAAAATGAAATGCACTTTGGAATTTCCAGTATTTTTGATGAAGATATATTATTATGCAAATTGCACCCTTTTAAAGTAGTATTTTTTAACAAATCTATTCTGCTGTTAAGAATTTTCTTCCCACCTACCTGTATTCTAAGCAATACTAACCTCTCATTAATTGTTAAAAACCCCCAACACATCGGTACCAACACACAATGCACTTAAAGCAACAGCCTGACAAGCAGACAGTACCTATCTTCTGAAATAAAGCTACAAAGCAATTTCAGCTACTAATTTGCTGAGAAGACTGTTTTCTCTATCCTGAAAAATCCAAGAAAACTAACAACAAGAAATGCTCCTTATCTCCTCCTGGCCAATGCTGATTTCCATAGGAGATGCCCAGGCCAGGTGCTCCTGTTTTTCTAGCAGGGAGCCATGGCTCACACTGCTCTGCTGCAGGGAGAACAAAGTGCCTGAAAACTCAGTGTCATTTTCTGTCCCACTTTTGCTCAAAATATCTGAGAGAAGAAAGAAGAATAAAACTGAAGGGGTGAAATGAAGAAAACCATCAAATTGTAAGATTTGGTTATTTCAGTACAAAGCAACCAACTTGGGGTGAAATGGCTGGGTTTTTACCAGTGTTCCTCCAATTCCTGACTTTTGTGGTGGCAGCATTCTGCAGAGCCAGGCCAAGTGTGCTGCCTAGGTCAGGGTGGTTCAAGAACGCCTCCTCTTCAGTGCTCACCAATTCTGCACCTACAGCCAAGTTCCACAAACAAGCACCACTGGGGAATATGTGTATGTTACATATGGGTATAGGATACACGTATATATTTCAGAACACTTTGTTTTTAAAGCTTTGACAGAAAGCTACAACTGGAATGAAAACCACTTGGAAATGGACACAGAAGGTAGCAGAGAGCATTGCAGTTCATCCAGTCAGGTTTTGTGTCCTTCCTTGTGCTTACCAGAGTACTTTTGTTGAAGAATATTCCAGATGAGTTCAGAGAACACTGACTCCAGAGTGAACAAAATGTTAATTTAAAGATGTTTTGGTATTCTGAAGATGTCTTCAAATATGTGCTTAAGTTAGTCACCTGCACATACAAAGAAGACACATTGCACTGGAAAACTTAATTTTTATGGGGAAAAAAATTAATGAAAGACAATGGGATAAATCACTCTGTGGGCTGCATAAGCCAGGAAGACCAACTTCCTTCTCAAGCAACAAGAGAACAATGATTAATCCACTGGGCTGTGGTTTTGTTTGTTCAAAGCAATAAACCAGCTTTTAAATAAGCCTCCATCTAAACCACTCCTGCATTTTTTTGGTGGGATGGTTGTTTGGGCTTTTTTGTTAGATCAACATAGCCACACCACTATGACCTGTATTTTTAGGCAAATTAGAGAAACCAATTTAATAAAGATAATTTAAAATACAGCTATTGGTTAGCTCGTGGATTTAGGAGAATTTCCAAACATGAAAAACAACCTGAAGCTGACCATGGGCTCTGGGAAGAGTTGTGTGTAAGAGCTTCAGTTTCCCTCACAGCACACTGACTACAGTAATGTGCCTGATGGCCAGGCAGCAATAGGCACAGAAATGTGGGCTCACTCCAGGATACAGATATATGTAATGTCAATCTGACACTCAGATTCAAAAATAAAAGCCTCCAACAGATTTTAGTACTTCCTAGAAACCTGCCAGAAAACATTGCCACTGCTTCAAGTTTCTATATTTCCAGATCAAACCACTAAGCTTTGTAATAAGGTAGAAAGCTGTGCATCTTAGTGCCTTCATGGAATTATTTTGTTACTGATCTGCTGCTTTATGAATGTCAGTATCCCACAGTACATTTTAAAATTAAAGTCTCCTAATGTTTTTTTTCCTTTTCTATTATTAAGACAATTTCTTTACTGTACTCCAAATTCAAGTACTGACTGTATCAAAAATAAGCAATTTTGCTTTCTGTAGATCCAGCAATGCCTGAATTCTTCAGGTAATATCCACATCAAGCCAGAATCTGAAGCCCATGGAGGTCTCCTCATGAAGCAGACTCAGGAGGTGGTCAGCCCACAGCAGTGGTCCTTTCCCTGCTCAGATACACAGCTGATACTGATCTACTGCATTACCATCAGTGAGAAACACCAAAGTGGTGTTCTGGGGAAAGGTGAAGATAAAACTGCAGAAGGAATTAAGGAAATTAACAGAATTATATCCGATCCTTTCTGAATTTAGTGATACTTCTGCTATTTATTGAAAAGCTTGTGGTTCAGTTTGCTAATTACTCAGTGTGCTTTTTGGTATGCCCACAAAACATCCATGTGCAGTGTTTACACATTTCACTGAAAAGTTTTACATTTCAAACATTACTCCTGTTTCACCTCTTAGATACCGATGAAAACTCATCAGGAACATATTTCATATAGTGGTCAAACCCACCCATTTATAATGGAGACCATTTTGGTATTTATTACTAGCAGGCAGGAGAAATTATTTTCATGTCTCAAAATGCAATTTTTTTCCGAATCCTTTCTTTAGGACACAGCCCCACCGCGTGGCCGTTTCACGAAGTAACACCGAGAGGAAAGCTGCTCATGAGAGCACGGACAGGTGCAAACACCCACAATTTACCTTATGTCCTCCTGCAACGCTAACATGAAATCCCAGTTTTAAATCCAACCACGACCACTGCAACCAGTGAAGACATTCCATTCCAAAATAGCCACAACCATAGGAAAAAGGTTTGCTTTGCCAAGATACTAATTTAAGGAGACCAAATCTTTGTGCAGTCTAATTTCCTGGTATTATACATTAAGGACAGAAAGGTTGGAAACTACAGTGCTGATCTTTCCACTGCACTTTCCAGAACTATACTGCAGGAATTTAACACTTGATTGCATAGGGAAAACAAACCAAAGCTTATAATTATAATATATTGGTAACAGTTTCTATGATGTTCAGATTTAAAACCTTTCTAGCTACTGTAAAAAATATGTATTGAAATCTAAGATTATTCCTGATTAAATGCAAAAAGAACAGAAACTGATCTTACTTCTTTCTCCTTGTAAACTAAAGGTGGACTCTATGGAGAGTCGAAGCCAATACATTTCTGCAATGAGAAACAAATTCTGACAATCTCTTCATTGTTCTCACAGGTGAGATATCCCCTTGACTGGTCTTCATTTGCTTGAATCATAAAAACCAGAGTAAATTTAGCAGGATATACAGAAGCACCTGCATGTTTTTGCAGCAAGCAGTACATACACATATTAAACTCAAATATCTTAATTTGGATACTATTACACAAAAAGAACGTTGTACACAGAGGGAACAAAAAGCAATTACAAAATTCCCCATCCTTTTATTTTTTCTGGTTTTACCTGGTAAGCTTGAGGCAAATTTATATGGATGAAACCAACATGTAGGGAAGATGCATGTGATCAAATAAAAGTATTACTTGATTTTGATTTGCTTTTGGCTTTGCTGTAACACAGGGATAGAAGTCAGGAGAAGGAAACACTGTTTTTTACTGTTGCACTCAAATTTAAATATCGTGCAAGGAATAAAGAGCTTGAACTTAGAGAGCACCAAATAATTTTCAATATCATTGAACAATAAAAGCAGTAATTAACAACTTACTGTGGGGGGAAAAAAACCATAAACGAGGTATGAAAAAGTAGGGAATTATTTAGTTACAGTATTAGGATTTCCAAGTTGTTACATTTTTAAGGCAAAATCTTATAGTAACAAAACACATTACTAATGTGTACTAAAATAAGGTTATTTACTTAAAAATGATACATTGGACATAATCTGTGTACAGAACAAGCAATTCATGGTAAACTCAATAAGGCACCTTCTAAAGCAGATGCTGTACAAAATACATTAGTGTGTTACATTTTTAAAGTAGTATTCTACACTTCTGGCATATAACACACACAAGAGTGTGACCATTTGTCTTGTTCCACTCTTCTTTCATATTTTATTTACATCTTCTCCAGGTTAACTACAATGTTATTTATTCTTCTTGTATACAATATAGTAC